ATATATATATACACGATATTTTGATTTATCTTAAAATATTGATATATTAATTTTGGTTCATATCACCCAGTCCTGGTACATAGAGTAAATACAGTACACTCAAAATCAATTTCACTGAAGAAGCACTAGAAGGTTGCTGTGTTCTGCTTACATACAGAACTAGGTGTACAAAGTAGATCTATGAAGAAAAGCTATTGGCAGCAAACAAGGTCCAGTGCAGCAGCTATTAACAAGCAATCACTTTGTAAGGCAGCATATTTCCTATTTTACTTATATCTAACCAATTTCTTCAGGGCTACTTGAGCACCTGGAGGGGGTAAGGGCAGTTAACAGATATGGGATTGGTTCTCTACCTTTCCTTTCACTGTGGTCATTGTCAACAGGGTAGCATTCATGCCTAACAGGGCCACCAGAGGTTATCGCTTAGCCAGAGTGTGTATGAGAAGAGGAAATCAAGCTGCAGGAACCTGACGCATATCATTCAGTGTAGCCCTCTGGGGCCAAAGAGAGGACATTTGTGTGCTACGCCTATAAAGGTGTGTAGTGAGGGGACAAAACTGGACCGTGTATTGGTGTATTTTGCAAGTGTGCACAGCAGTAAATGTGAAAACACAGAACCAGATAAAAATTGTGAGCCGTATGAATAATATGCAGGCAGCATGGTGGCGCAACTGGTAGAGCTGCTGCCTCTCAGCGAGCAGGTCCTTGGTTCAAACCCCGGTCCAGGGGCCTTCTGGGTGGAGTTTGCATGTTCTCTCCATGCATGCGTGGGTTTTCTCCGGGTGCTCCGGTTTCCTCCCACAGACCAAAAACATGCATGTTAGGCTGATTGGTAACTCTAAAATTGTCCCTAGGTGTGAGTGAGAGAGTGAATGGTTGTTTGTCTCGTTTGTCTCTATGTGGCCCTGTGATGGACTTGCGACCCGTCCAGGGTGTACCCCGCCCATCGCACAGTGATTGCTGGACATGGGCACCAGCGACCCCCGTGACCCAAAATGGAATAAACGGGCAAAGAAAATGGATGGATGGATGGATGAATAATATGCACCCTAAACCATGAATGTGCAGATTTAATAATTCAGGGCAAAGCAGGGAAAAATTAATGTGTCCAAATTTTCTTTATAAATGGAACAAGATATTCAGCAGATGTTTACAATAAGGTACGTGTAGGTTTTAATGTGTAAGAGTAGGAAAGGAATGGAACCAAAGAGATGAAGACCAAAGATTCTCGGGCCGATTTCGTAATGCAGTCCAATAAACACATTAATGCAGTACTCCCAGCTTTATTTTCCTCATACGCACAAATAAAGCAAATCATGTAAATAATAAAAAATGACTATACAAACAATATTACTGAGACATATGGCGCAAAAGCAATTTACTGAGTTCCCAGCAAATTGTTGAGATAAGCTTTGTTTCAGCTTGAGCATGTGACAAATCCCATTTCATAACGTTACCTCTAAATTTAAGCATACATCTGTCCCATGGCTGCAAAAAGTTAAATTATATTATTCTAATACAACATGAGTTAAACCTTCATGATGACAATGCATCATCAGTTGTCACAGCTTTCTCTTACATAAACAGACACCATCAGTATATAGTGTGTAAAGCTAGCTATCAAGCCTGCTTCAAAACTTTACAAACACTTATTTTTAGGGTTATTATAGAAGAACGACAATGATATCAAAAGCAGTACATCTAAATACACCTATTTACACTTTAAAATAGTTGACAATTAATTTTAGTGGGGAAATACAATGCTATAATTTTTGATTTTAATCTTAACAACTAAAAGCAAAAATTAAGGTTAATTGACTACAGTACCAGATGTAATACACTGATTTTAAAAAAAAAATTTTTTCATTTACCCTTTATTTATCCAGGTAGTCTCAGTGAGCCACGAGAACTAATTTTCAAGAGAGACCTGTTTAGGAGCAGATGGTGGGGGTTAAGGGCCTTGCTCAGTGTGTCAGAGTGGGGCAAATGAGGGTGGAGGCAGGTGTGGGTGTTTCACCTTTTCCACCCACATTTTGATGTTGATGGTACCGGAAGCTGAACCTGCGACTTTCCAATCACAGGCCCATCTTCTAACCTCTGTGCCACCACTCCCCATTTACTTAAAACTAAACAATATGAGTCAGTGAAAATACTTTTGAAGTGTACAGTTCAATTAAATCTTTGTTTTTAAGGGTTACAAAGCCATTTGCTTTCACTTTACATAACAGCAAAGACCGAGACACACTTCACTTTGTCTTTAATTGAAAAAAGTGAAAAATTACAAGGAAGGGATAGAATGGGATTTGATCAAAGTCATGTTTTGGACACGAGGCTACAGACACCACCACATTGCAGCAGTGGTAAATATTTATTATCAAAAAATGTTATTTTTGTGATTATATGCAATTATTTGCTTTCTTGTGTATTTTTACCTTCCCCCTTCAAACTGCATAGAAACACAAACTCGCTTCATCCTGGGATTAATGGCAGGTCTCTAAATAAGGTTAAACAGAGATGTGGAGAGGAGGGGATGGCGTGTGTGGCGAGAAGGGACCAGCGGTGGCTGCCTCTTACCTTTTTGTTGTTTTCTTTAATATCCTGAGGATTGAGCAACTTGTAGTCTCTAAAAGAACAGCGGGGAGGATTGAAGAGGAGAAGGGCAGAGGAAAAAATGAAAAGAAATGCAATGGAGGAAGAGATGTGTTTAAATATGTGTCAAATGTAATGGTATTAGAACTCTAACACACAATTTCAGAGCAAAGCAATCAACAGAGCTAATGAAGTGGAAAATATGTAAAAATAACTCTGAAGCACAAAGCATAAACACATACATAAACATGTGTACCTAGAGCAGTTTTAATAAATTATCTTCATGTCTGCTCTTAAAAAGACTCAACAGACACCGCACCTACAATCTTACATAGACTCGGTACTTTAAATTACAAACATAATGAAGTAGATAAAAGTTTATGTTTTAATAATCCCAGTGCCTATGCTTAAATTAATCAGACCAGATGGAATGACAGATATAACATAAAACTTTAGTTTAAATCTGCTTATTGTTGATTTTCTATTTTTGTTTCTTAAAGATGAGAAAATTACATTCAGTCTGTGTGTGTGTGTGTGTGTGTGTGTGTGAGAGAGAGAGAGAGAGAGAGAGAGAGAGAGAGAGAGAGAGAGAGAG